ACCATGCCCCATGCGGCGACAGACTGAAGTCCATAGCAAAGTCAGAGACCTACCTAAAGCCTACCTAAAGGGAGGGAGGGTGGGAAAACGTGGGGGCTAGCCGGCGAAAAGAGGGTGAGCCCCCTCTGCGCCGGCCCTAAATAGGGCAGGTCACGCCCCCCCCCCAGCCAGGATTCCCCTGTTCTCGCGGGGGCTGAAACCAGCCCCCGCTCAAGTGGGGGGTGGGCGTGAAGCCCGCAACCCCACCTCCTGGGCAGGCCGGAAGTGGCTTTCTGGGACTGTGCAAGTCTTCTTTCTTGAGACCCAAGACACTTTCAGGTCATCTGTTTCTTGTGCATTCATCCTGATTTGTTTGCCATGAGGTTAGAATGATATTGCATCAGGCATTATCTCACACTTTCCCGTGCATTTCTCTGTCACTTTCCTTACTGCAGAAAGAATGGCCTTTGGAGGAGGTGGATCTGCTGTGCAAGACCTCAAAATACGATACGATACGGTAATCTTTATTGTCATTGTCCCATACAGAACAACAAAATTGAAAATCTACACCAGACATTCAGAAACCAAGAAGCCTGCTATCCCACCTATCCCAGCCTGGGATCAAATTTAATTGCACCTCTAGAATTTGCCACTACATGATTGAATCCCACCCCAAAACTGCAAGAGTCTGAAAGCACCTCCACATTTCCTTTGGTTGCTTCCTCTCACTTCCTGTCTATTCCTTCTCGATCTCTAAAATGCCAAACAAACATACCAATACAGTGGTACCTCGGGTTACAGATGCTTCAGGTTACAGACGCTTCAGGTTACAGACTCCGCTAACCCAGAAATAATACCTCAGGTTAAGAACTTTGCTTCAGGATGAGAACAAAAATTGCAGCACGGCGGCGCAGCGGCAGCAGGAGGCCCCATTAGCTAAAGTGCTGCTTCAGGTTAAGAACAGTTTCAGGTTAAGAACGGACCTCTGGAATGAATTAAGTATGTAACCAGAGGTACCACCGTATAGTTTTGTTGCCATCCCCTCTGTGTTTTTATATCTGTAGAATGGGATCTTTTGGAAAGATTGGCTGCTAGAGTTGTCAAACCAGTCTCTTTATCAGTGCTAGCCAAGAGTTTCTTGTCTCTAGTCAAGTCTGATGAACAATGGTCTGGGGTCGTTGGGGGTCAGTCAAGACCCTTTACCATTTCTGCATCAAGTTCTTCAGCATCCTCAATCAGCACAAAAGGGGAGCTTTTTAGGCTCTCTATTTCCCAAACCTAAGCATTAAGCAATATTGAAAACAACAAGAGTTTCAAGAGAATGGTGTTGTGCAAGTTCTGTTACATACAAAGGAAATTCAAGGAAAACACGGCTGAAGTCTCTCTGGTAGAAGATATTGGAGCACTCCAAATCATTTGCCCAGGTACGTGCACAGAAAATGGTAGCTGAAAGGTGAGATGGTTTCAGTGCTAACTGTTATTATTGCATAATTATAAGATCATTGCATAATCTTGGAAAGTTGTATCATCTTAAAAGGGGGCGTGACTGTCATGAAGGGCACCTGTACTTCTGAACTTGCCACTGCACTGCTGCTTTTAAGTATCTCTTTACATGACAAAGGGGGGCAGGCGACTGGTTCCCATGGGAACTACGAGCTGGAGATGCTTCCAGAAGGTAAGGTAAGGAGGACAAGCCTTCCCCACTCCCCTGGCTTGGGGTGATGCCATCACCGAGTGCACGGGAACAAAAGATCTGAAGAAGAAGAAGAGTCTGGATTTGATATCCCACTTTATCAGTACCTGAAGGAGTCTCAAAGCGGCTAACATTCTCCTTTCCCTTTCCTCCCCCACAACAAACACTCTGTGAGGTGAGTGGGGCTGAGAGACTTCAGAGAAGTGTGACTAGCCCAAGGTCACCCAGCAGCTGCATGTGGAGGAGCGGGGAATCGAACCCAGTTCACCAGATTACAAATCTACTGCTCTTAACCACTACACCACGCTGGCTCTCTGGGACTAGTCTTGTGTTGGGCTGGGTTGGTCAGAAACCCAGAGGCTCGCTCTCTGTGCTGAAACAAAAGCTATCACTTTGGGGAGCCCATCCCTAGAAACCTAATGGGGGGCAAGATTTTGAATTGCTACAGCTGTGAGCCTTTCTATCTTATTCCCAACCTCATTATATGTGTAAATAAAACCATAAATCATAAAAGACAGCACCGTCTCTAGTGACCAAGCACTGGTATGTACTAGCACCCTTGGAGACTGGGATGCATGTATTTTTTTTTATTCCTTCATTAATTATAATGTTAGAGATTTGGGGGGGACCCCTTAAACCCTAGAAATTAATAAATGGTAGGTTTTTGATTACAGTGGTACCTCGGGTTACATATGTTTCAGGTTACATACGCTTCAGGTTACAGACTCCGCTAACCCAGAAATAATACCTCGGGTTAAGAACTTTGCTTCAGGATGAGATGCGCAGCAGCAATGGGAGGCCCCATTAGCTAAAGTGGTGCTTCAGGTTAAAAACAGTTTCAGGTTAAGTACGGACCTCTGGAACGAATTAAGTACATAACCAGAGGTACCACTGTATTTGGAGTACTGAAGGGAAGATTTCAGGCCAGTGGAAAAATACAGGCTAAGTTTCCTTTCCAAGCCAGGGCCTCACCTGGGTAAAAGATAAAAAGGTAAAGGACCCCTGGACTATTAAGTCCAGTAAAGGTTGACTCTGGGGTTGCGACTCTCATCTCACTTTCAGGCCGAGGGAACCGGCGTTTGTCTGCAGACAGCTTTCTGGGTCATATGGTGAGCATGAATAAACCACTTCTGGTGCAGTGGCACATCGTTATGGAAACCAGAACACACAGAAACGTTGTTTACCTTCCCGCCCCAGCATTACTTATTTATCTACTTGCACTGGCGTGCTTTCGAACTGCTAGGTTGGCAGAAGCTGGGACAGAGCAGCGGGAGCTCACCCCATCGTGGGGATTCAAAGTGCCAACCTTCTGATCGGCAAGTCCTAGGCTCTGTGGTTTAACCCACAGCGCCACCCATATTATTATTATTATTATTATTATTATTATTATTATTATTATTATTCGGTTTACGAACTCCGCAAAAGCTACGGCAGTCTCTGCCACGTCTTCAATTCTTCAAAAGAACACAGACCTGGGGTGAGTGCCTGTGACCTCCTGGAATCTTGCTACTGGTCAGCAGAGAGTGGGGTGACCCCCAACTTTTGTAACAAGCATAATCTGTTAGTTACAAAAACAAGCAGCTGAGTAGCCAGGTAAAAAAGAGGAGAGGGCTGCTGCGCCTTACATAGTTGTGCAGAAAAGGTGAGTTGTCAGTAGGGGCAGCTTTCAAGCAAACCTTCAGCAGCTGACATTCCCACTGTTACACAACCGTTAAATATCCCTGCTCTCTTTTCCATCCTGCCACCTTAACAGCTGCCCAGACAGTCCCTTCATTACTTTGTAAAGCCTTATTCCCCACCCCCCAAATATGCTCCAGTACCTGCTCTGAACTTCCAACCTCTCAGCAAATGAGAGCAAATAATGCAAAGCCGAGAGATTATGCCAGGCATAGGCAACCTTGGCCCTCCAGATGTTTTTGGACTACAATTCCCATCATCCCTGAACACTGTTGGCTAGGGATGATGGGAGTTGTAGTCCCAAAACATCTGGAGGACCGAGGTTGCCTGTGCCTGGATTCTGCTATTCTCCCCCTTTGCTAGCACCGGTGACTCAGCAGAAACGTTTCACTCACAGCTGTATTCTGCCCATCTAAACCACATGCAGTTGGGACCCCTGGAAATGCAGCATTTCTGCTCGATTGCATGCCAGTGGTTCGAACAGCAGGGCCAAATAAATCACTTTTGCAGAGGAAAAGCTGAAAAGCTGGCTACGCTAGGTCCAGGAGGGACCTATGTCTGAAGAGCAGCTCTCGGAAAGGACCATGTATCAAAGCATCTTCATGGTAGCGCATTTTCCTAGCATGCAAAAGCTCCCTGGGTTAATCTCTGACATCCCTAGGTAGGGCTGGGAACATCCCCATCTGGAACCTTGAAGAGCTGCTTCTGGTGACTGCCGTAGGAAGAGGAGTGCGGGAGGAGCGAACACCCCCGGCAGCACGATCCCGGTGGGGTGCCATTGTGGCTGCCCCCCTCCCCCGTGCTGGGCGCCAGGCCCCCAGGATGCATGCCGCACCCCTGCAGGCAGTGCGCCACGCCCCCGGAAGCACCACGCCCCCCGGAAGAGCCTTGTATGAAGCTCCGCCACTGCTTCCGGTCAGTGGAGACAGTATAGACCTAGATGGATTAATGGTCTGACTCAACAAATGGCAGCTTCCTGCATTCCTCTCTTCCTCCTAAAGGTAAAGGTAAAGGGACCCCTGACCATTAGGTGCAGTCGCGAACGACTCTAGGGTTGCGGCGCTCATCTCGCTTTACTGGCCTAGGGAGCCGGCGTACAGCTTCCGGGTCATGTGGCCAGCATGACTAAGCCGCTTCTGGCAAACCAGAGCAGCGCACGGAAACGCCGTTTAACTTCCCAATGGAGCAGTACCTATTTATCTACTTGCACTTTGACATGCTTTCAAGCTGCTAGGTGGGCAGGAGCAGGGACCGAGCAATGGGAGCTCACCCCATTGCGGGGATTCGAACCGCCGACCTTCTGATTGGCAAGCCCTAGGCTCTGTGGTTTAACCCATCTCTTCCTCCTAGCTGGGGCTATTAGATCAATAGATAGCATCTATGGTCCTAGCCAGGGCTATTTTCTTTCAGGGGGAACTCACAGGAACTCAGTCTCAAGTGGGCACCATTGCCATTCTAAGAGAATGAGGGAGGTGTTCATGGTGAGTTCTGGCACCTCTTTTTCTAGAAAAATAGCACTGAAGGACCCCTTCAAACTGTTGGGATCTACAGAACTACGTGATTTACAGTTGAGTTAATCTGGCCCTGACACACAGGAACAATTTTAAAAAATATGTATTAGATAGGAACGATCTGAACATACCCACAACGTCCTTTCTGATGGTGCCACCTGAAGGTTACGGGTGTTTACTTGTGCACTGCTGTGATAAACTAGAATCCTCATATTGGCTGTTCTGAGGGATGACAGATGCTGCTCATTCTTTGATTTGAAGCCTGCAGAAGAGAAAATATGAGGGGACCTTTGCTCTCCCCATTAAACAAGAACCCTGAACTGACATGAGTGATGCAAGTGCCGTCGAAGCAGAAGGCTGACAGAAAATTCTGGTCTCTGCCTGAGACAGACCCAGAATGGTGGGCATCTATTCTGAAGCAGACTTGGCAGTGTTTGCCCTGCTGTTCTATGAGTCTTAACACATGTGAAATGATCTTCACTGCTAGCTGCGTCAGTGAGAGTGGAGGACATTAAGATAGTCCCCACCTGACGTCTTATGGAGGATGCTGGATTTCAGAATGTTTGGGGGTGCTTTGATGGAATACAGCAGCGTTCCCCAACCTCATTCCCTCCAGATGTTTTGGGTGACAGCTGTCATCAGCCCCAACCCACTTGCCAGATGTACTTCCCCAATCTTTCAATAGGGCCATATTGCACACTGATGAGACTGTGGTGATGGTGACCAGGAAATAATCTTTGCCGTTGGATAGCTCAGTTGGTTAGAGCGTAGTGCTGATGACGACATGGTTGCAGGTTTGATCTCTGTATGGGACAGCTGCATATTCCTACATTGGACTAGATGATCCTCAGGGTGCCTTCCAACTTTACAAGGCCTACTTGGTAGTGGCACCTGCCCTGTGGAACGCCCTCCTATCAGATGTCAAAGAAACAAACAAGTTTTGGAAGACATTTGACTTTTAGAAGACATCTGAAGGCAGCCCTGTTTAGGTAAGCTGTTTAGGGAAGCCTGGCTTCGGCTGGGGAGGGCGGGATATAAATAAAATTTATTATTATTATTATTTGATGAATTATTGTATTTTAATATTTGGTGGAAGCCGCCCAGAGTGGCTGGAGAAACCCAGCCAGATTGGGGGGGGGGTAATAAATAATAAATTATTGTCATTAATATTACTAAGATTCTCTGTTTCCCTGAAGTTGCACTCAGCTGAGCTGTTCCAGATGGAGAAAGGATTTGTGTGTTCAAGGGGCGATGTATTGGAAGAGAAGTCACCACTGCAAGGATTCCACGCATTTTTCTACCTGGTTACTGAGATCCAGCCTGAGTTGCTGATGGTGGTTATAACAGAGTCTGACTGTGGTTGAATCTGAAGCAACCACTTCCAGAGGGATAAATGTGGCCTTGTTTTCTCTGAGGATGCTGACAAAATCCTTGAAACAGTGAAGCCTGGAACACTTTGCTAAGATCAATTGTCATCCCTGCTAGCCAAGGCCAGCTGAGCTGAGCTGCATCATGAAGCGTGTGTTTGTGAGGGGGAGAGAATTCCTCATCACAAAAGGAAGGCGTTATTTCTAGGGATGCCTCAACACCTTCCACACGCACTGCCAAGAAGAAGGTTTTGGCCATTACATGGCAGGACTGAGTCTCAAACAAAGATGTGCCACATTCCAGCATGGTCACACCGCTGTCTCAGAGACATCTATGCTGGCTTGGTCAAGTCCATAGAATGGAAGATTGCAGAATCCCCAAAGACGTGCCCTATGGGAAACTGGGAGGAGCACAGAGAGAAGAAACACTAGGGTGCATCTGCAGCAGCACATCTGCCCCAGCTGCAACAAATAATAATAATAATAATAATAATAATAATAATAATAATAATAATAATAATAATTTTTATTTATACCCCGCCCTCCTCAGCCAAGGCTAGGCTCAGGGCGGCTAACAAGCAATAATAAAAACAAGTTGAATGAATACAACTTAAAAACAAGATTAAAATACAACATTAAAATATTGAAATATTAAAGCACTAAAATGCAGCCTCATCACAGGAGGAGAAAGGAAAAAGAAAAAAGAAAGAAAGGGAGGGAATCAAATTGGCTCCAAGCCAAAGGCCAGGCGGAAAAACTCCATCTTACAGGACCTGCGGAAAGAAATCAGATCCTTCAGGGCCCTGGTCTCATGAGGCAGAGCATTCCACCAGGCCGGAGCCAGTGTTGAAAAGGCCCTGGCTCTGGCTGAGGCTAATCTAACTTCCTTAGGGCCTGGGACCACTATTTATGGACCTTGAGGCTCTCCGTGGGGCATACCGGGAGAGGCGGTCCCATAGGTACGAGGGTCCTAGGCCGTGAAGGGCTTTAAAGGTCAAAACCAGCACCTTAAACCTGACCCTGTACTCCACCGGGAGCCAGTGCAGCTCCAAAACATGTTTCTCCTGTGTCGGCCTCTACAGCCACAGCAGGCGCTGTAACTCTCTAATGGTTTGACTTCATGCCTGAAGGCGCACTCCTTCATCGTCTCCCAAGACAGAGGGATGCCAACAGCAGGAAACTAATGCCCCCCAAAGTAAGTGCCCCCCCATTTGATTCCCTGCAGTTGGGATCAGATCACTGTGTGGTTTATGGACCAAGGTCTCTCCATTCCAGACTGAATTTGCACAAGAAGCAAAAGCACATTTCTGTTTCTGCTGGAAAATAAATCCCCATGTCCTTTGTGCATCAGATGTCCCAGCGCTTGTTTCCAGACAGCACATCCTTACATCACTGAGGTACCTGTTTGAACAGGACCTCGCTTGGATCTTTCAGCTCTGGTGTCTATACCATGAAAGATATTTTGCTTGTCTACCCATGTGACTACATGTGTGTCTCTCTGCACACACAAACACACACACACACACAGAGAGAGAGAGAGAGAGAGAGAGAGAGAGAGAGAGAGAAGGTAGCCAGGGGGGACATCTTTCATACTATCACATATCTGCTGCCTTGTTGTGCTGTTATTTGCCCAAAGGCACATGCCTTTCTGGTGTCATTACCGAGACTTCAGACTTCAGATTACTGTATCAAGTCTGCTGCATCTGCAATCCTTCTTCATCTCTGGTACGCACACACTGAGATTGCAAAAGCCAATTCCGATTGCAGCAAACTGCTTACAAGAGCCGTGAGCGTAATGATATTTATTTGCCACTTTTAAAAGGTAAGAATATAGGTTCTGTTTACTGTGTTTCTATGCCCTGTTTAGAATCATAGAATCATCAAATTGCAAAGTTGGAAGGGACCCTGAGGATAATCTAGTGCAGGGGTCAGCAATGTTTTTGTGGCTTGGGCCGGTTCACGGTCCCACAGATGCCGCGGTGGGCGTGGGTGTGTGTGCGCGCATGCACTCATGCGCAAACGCTATTGCCTTCCGGCACGGAGGAGGCGTGCACCGCTTCCCATTGGCTGCAGGAGCTTCCCCTAGAAAAATATCAGTGTCCCAAACTATGAATTCAATTGGGCTTCTGCACACCAAACTTTGCAGAGGACCAGGGTGCAGTAAAACAATTTTTGAGCTGCGTACAGGGAAATGTCCAGTTAGTGTTGGTGCATGGCCTTTTCAGTGGTTGTTCCCTAGTTGTGGAGTGCCATCCTTAGTGATGTGCGCCTGTCTCCATTGTTACTCACATTCAGGAGGAATTTGAAAACCTGTTTACACCAGGTATTTGGTGCCTGAAGCATACTGTTCCTGGCCACCTTGAGCTCATGGCATGGGGGTGTTTTTAATTCAAATTGTTTTTAGACTGCTTTAATCAGCTTCAGAATGTTTTTGCTTTGTGTCTGCCTTTAAATTGTCTATCTTCAAATATCTCAAGGGCTGTAACGTGGAAGATGGAACAAGCCTGTTTTCTCCTGTTCTGGATGGTAAGACTCACACCAATGGCTCCAAGCTCCAAGAAAGGAGATTCTGACTAGACATCAGGAAGAACTTTCTGAAGGTAAGAGCAGATTGAAAGTGTAACAGGCTCCCACAAGAGGCGTGCAGCATAGCACATGCTGTCCAAGGGGATGGTGATCTGAGGAGGGTTTTGGTACAGAAGAAAGAAGTGAGGAGGATGGGAAGAAAAAGATCTCCCCAGTCTTCAGGTTGCTAGAACTCATTGAGTAGGGCTCTCCTGTCATGCCCTGTCCTATCTCCCTCCCCAAATTTAAAAGCTTGACGTGATTAGATACAGTGGTGCCTCGCAAGACGAAAAGAATCCGTTCCGCGAGTCTCTTCGTCTTGCGGTTTTTTCGTCTTGCGAAGCAAGCCCATTAGCGGCTTAGCGGATTAGCGCTATTAGCGGCTTAGTGGGCTTAGCGGATCAGCCGATAAGCGGCTTAGCGGATCAGCTGATAAGCGGCTTAGCGGCTTGGGAAAAAGGGGGGGGGGAAGGAAAAAAAACCCTGCAGGAACTCGCAAGACATTTTCGTCTTGCGAAACAAGCCCATAGGAAATTCGTTTTGCGAAGCACCTCCAAAACGGAAAACCCTTTCGTCTAGCGGGTTTTCCGTCTTGCGAGGCATTCGTCTTGCGGGGCACCACTGTACAGATAGTGGAGGAACTGCTGGATAAACAGTCATGTACATTTAATCTCCTCCTATCACATATTCTGTCTGCTATGCACTTTGTTACGCTTCTGAGACAGCTTCCCAACAGGAAAGTGTGGTAGCTCAGTGGTAGAGCATCTACTTTGGATGTAGAAGGTTCAATCACCAGTATCTCCAGGTAGGGATGAAATCCTGTCTGAAATCCCAGGGACTGGCTGCCAGTCAGAGTGCACAGTACTGAGCCAGATAAACCAATGGTCTGGCTCAGTATAAAGAAGCTTCCTCCTTTCCTATAACAAGGGTCAAAAGTTTCAGCTCTTGGAGAGCTCTTTGGCTATCACAGTTAACAAAACTGAAGAGTTTTCTCCCACTTCCCTTTATTTTCTCAGTACAGTCAAACCTCGGTTGTTGAACATAATCCGTTCCAGAAGACAGTTCGACTTCTGAAACGTTCGACAACTGAGGCACAGCTTCCAACTGGTTGCAAGAGCTTCTTGCACCCAAGTGGAAGCCGTGTCAGACATTCAGGTTCCGAAAAACATTTAAAAAACGGAGCATTTTTGGCTTTCGGGAGCTGAAAGGTTCGGAAATGGAGTCATTCAAGAGGTTTGACTGTAATGAGGCAATTCAAGCGAAACTGGGCAGGTAAAAACCATGAATAAAGCAACACAGGTTTGATTGTTCTGCAATAAAAATAAAAGTT